TTAGGCTCCAACACCTGCCTATGGCATGTTCACAAAAGCATATTATTTGAATTGCTTTCTCACTGTGTCATTGTCAAGTACTGACTTGTCTTCCTTGGAATTTTGGCTTTAACTAAACTTTATGGTACAAAATGTTCCATGTTATGTCTGCTGTCCAACTGTCTGATAAGTTTCCTTATGCAATTGGTTGTTGGTTTTGATATTACTGATTTTGTTTTTAATTAAAGAATTTATTTCCTTCATTTAAGCATTTCTCCAGTGTGAGCCATGTTAATTTACAAAAGACAATTTATGCAGTTTATAACATGATAGTATAGAAGTTAGAAAATAGGATTTCTCCTCTCCAACTCTGTTTTTCTCTCTCCTTTCTGGATAATCATATCCAGTCCCATGTTTAGACTGTATAGCTTAGCCCCATTTTCAAATTCCATAATAGTCTACAAGGCATCTAAAGCTTAACTTGTATAAAATAAAACTCCCTCATCCTGTTTCCTGTCTTCCATCCCCAGTTCTTCCCGACCCCAAAAATGGTATTAGCATTCTCCAGGTATTCACATTCAAATCTGGAGCCTTCCTTCAGCCCTCACAGGCAGGCCACAGCTTCACACCACTTCCAAGTGAAGCCACTCACTAATTCCACGGTGGTCCTCTCAGTAAGTTTCTTGCTCCTGATCTTACTCTTTTCAGTTTTCCTTCCTTCCTTCTTTTTTCCTTCCTGCCTTCCCTCCCTCCCTCCTCTCTCTCTTTCTCTTTCTTTCAAACCATAGTAGTCAAAATGATCTTTTTAAAACAAGTGACATCTTGCTGCCTCTTTAATCAGACAAACCCCCACCCATGGCTTCCTGTTAGGAATACTAAAATCTGTCCTTACCATTACCTGTAGAGCTGTGTATCATTTGGCCAGCCTCTGCTTGCTTTGGTGACTTTACACCTCACCCTTCGTGCTTAGTTCCAGCCACAGTCTGGCCATCTTGTTACCTCTACAAAGACAAAGGATTTAATTTCTCAGAATTGTAGTTGTTTCTGTTTCAACTGTCTGCACTCCAAAATATACTTTAAACCCTTGTTTACATGTCATTTCAGTGGATACATCTTTTTTTGTTGTTGTTGTTGTTTTTGGGTCCGGTCCTGGGGCCTGAACTCTGGGCCTGGGCGCTGTCCCTCAGCTCTTCAGCTCAAGGCTAGCGCTCTACCACTTGAGCTACAGCGCCACTTCCGGCTTTTTTCTTATGTGGTGCTGAGGAATCGAACCCAGGGCCTCAGGCATGCAAGGCACACGCTCTACCACTGAGCCATCTTCCCAGCCCTAGTGGATACATCTTTACTCCTTTACTCACCATTTTTATCCAAATGCTGTTACACATCATGCTTTAGTTCTTACTGCTACCTGAAATGCTGAGATTTCTTTATAGTATAGTAATGGCACTCCACCTTTCCCACCACTCTAAGTTCAACAAGGACAAGGAGTTTTCTGACTCATCTTCTGCTCCATCTCTGTACCTGGAGAGATTAGCACTCTGTCTGTAAATGACTGAATTTATTAGATGTATGACCTTGAGTGAGTCAGTTCACCTCCTTAAACTTGGAGTCTGTATCTGGGTGAAAGTCTTATCCTGAGTTCATGAGTAGTCAGTTCAAGGCACTTATTTTACAAAAAGTGTTTTGACCAGGTCACGTTGCTCAGGTCAGTGCTGTTCACGGCCACAGTTCCTACAGTTTTGTGATCATCTGTGAAGTATTCCTCTGCACTCCTTATCTACAGTTTTACTAGTTTATTTCTCTAAGTTCTTAGCTATCTTCCTCTTATTATTCAGGCAAGTCTCCTCTTTACATATACAAATACTTTTTCACTTGGTCCATTTTTGCCTGTTTATTGAATGCAGGCAAGTATGTGATAGGAGCCAAACTTCTCTCATTCTTCCTCTTGCCTCACTCTACCTTCGTGTGTGTGTGTGTGTGTGTGTGTGTGTGACTCATGAGCTAAGAAACATAATCATGGTAATTGTGATATATATTTTTTACTCATGGAATGGGAAAATAGGAGAATTAGACCTAAAAATTAGTGTCTCATTCCCCTAGAAAGTTGTCCCAGATTTGCAGGCTTGTAGGCTACCAGGACAAACTGTTCCAGCTTCTTAGTGACTGTCATCTTAGGAAAAAACTGAGATAACAGGGGACTTTCCAGAATTTTCTGCATACTAATGTGTAATCCCTTCATGGGAAGATTGTATTATCCCTAATTAATTTCATCACAGAATAACTTATTGTGGGTTATCTGTTAGTATCTTCTAGGACCGTACTGCTCTATGGAACATATTTTTGAGCAGTTAGTAGGTATTAAGCATAAGTTCTTTTCTTCTGGGTGGTACTAGGGTGTGAACTAAAGGCCTCACACTTGGCTAGGCAGACACTCTATGACTGTGTGATAAGCCTCTAGCTCATTGGTTTTTTTGTTTTTTTGGTTGTGGGGATTGAACTCTTGGCCTAGATGCTGTCCCTCAGCTCTTCAGCTCAAGGTTAGCACTCTACCATTTGAGTCACAGTGCCACTTCTGGTTTTCTGGTGGTTAATTGGAGCTAAGAGTTTCATGGACTTTCTTGCCTGGGCTGGCTTTGAACCGTGATCCTCAGAGCTCAGCCTCCTTAGTAGCTAGGATTACAGGCGGTGAGCCACCAGGGCCCAGCAAGCTCATTTGTTTTGAGATAACTTCTTACTTAATGCCTGTGGTTTCACCTACACCACAATCTGCCTGTGTTAGGCTTTCCACTGAAGTTGAGATGATGGGTGTGTGCCACAATACATAGCTTCTTTCCACAGAGATGGAGCCTAACACACTTTTCTGGCCAGATGGGCCTCCCAATAAGCCTCCACATATGTTGCTTAGGAGGACAAGCACATGATACTATGAATTATGTGCCACCAGCTATGAGTTCAGAAGGGGTCTGGCAAACTTTTCTACCCAGGCTGCCTGGAACCACCATTATCTTTTCTCAGATTTCTAAATAGTAATACAGGCATGAGCCAGTGGTGCCTAGTTTCAACCTTTTATTTTTTTTTTTGGTCAGTTGTGGAGCTTCAACTTTGGGCTTGGGTGCTATCCCTAAGCCTCTTTGTGCTCAAGGCTTAGCACTCTACCACTTGAGCCACAGCACCACTTCCAGTTTTTGAGTGGTTTATTTGAGGCAAGAGTCTCATGAGGACTTTTCTACCCAAGCTGGCTTTGAATCATGACCCTGAGATTTCAGCCTCCTGAGTAGCTAGGATTATGGGCCACCAGTGCCTGGCGCAACCTGTTTTTTAATACTATATAATGTGTACCTTAATATTAATCTGTCTTTAAGAAGTAATATTCTGGGGTTAGAGGTGTGGCTCAGGTGGTAAAGTGCCTGCCAGTTAGCTAAAGCATCAGATACTGAGTTTGAGTCCTGGTCTGGGACAAAAAAAAAAGTATGCTGAGCGAGGCATGGTAGCACTTGCTTGTAAACCCAGCTACAGGGCAAGACTCTCTCAAAAAATATATATCAGACAGTGCATTTTGGATAATGCAAGGAGGGAAGTGTGTGTATGTGTGAAAGTACAAAATATAAGTTATAGGTATTGGTTAATTTATGATTATGTTTTCTGTCCAGTTGATCACTGATCTGTTGCTAGAGCTTTATGGTATTCACTACATTACAGATTACATGTTGATAATGTCTTAGAGCAATTAATTTATAGAAAATATGTCAGTATCTACTATAATAAAGTTTATATCTAGGAACTTTTTGTATTTTAGTTATACATGTAAAGGTTTTGTCAGTTTGACTATGCATATATAACCTACACTATTAAAAATTCCAGAATATCAGAAATGGAGATATGGCACAAGTGGTAAAATGCCAGCTGAACAAGGAAGCTGAGCAAACATGAGACTCTGATTTCAAATACCAGTGCCACTTACACATTTCTTTCAAAATACATAATGCATTCAAATGGTTCAAAATCCAAAGCTTACAAAAGCATATAGACACAATAGTGTTTGTATTGTTTTAGATCACAGAAGAAATGCGTATAAAAATTATATCTTAAATCTCAAAATTAAAGCCTCCAAAATGTAAGGTAGCTAAAAATATCCCGTACTCTCTGTTCACGATACATTTGAAAAAAATCAAACTTTTAAAAGAACTCATCTGATTAGGCTGGGCTCTGTGGCTCCAGCCTATAATCCTTGAGATCAGAGGATTAAGGTTCAAGGGCAACCCAAGAATAAAAGTTTGTAAGAACTCTCTAGTGGTTGGGCACAGTGACACATACCTGTTTATCTCCAGCAAGAAGAGGAATCACTAATAGAAGGATCATAGCTTAGGCTGGCCTAGTATAAAGTAAGACTGCACCTTGCAAATAACCAATGCAAAAAGAGGTTAAAGACATAGCTCAAGTAGTAGAACACCTGCCTAGCAAGTGTGTAAGGCTTTGAGTTCAATGCCTGGTGCCGCCATAAAAGAAAGAACTCACCTGACTAGTGACAGGCAAATGTGCTGTCGAGGAGAGAGCTGAGACAGCCTGCAGTGTGCACATGAAGCAGGGTGACAGAAGGGCATAAATGATAAGAAGAAGGGGCTGGAATGGTGCTGAGTGCCACTCATAAGCCCCAGGTAGAAAATGATAAGTAATAAAAGAGAAGTGAAATGTTAACAGCTAATTGTGAAATTGACCAAGAAGCTAACAGTATTTGCCCCTCAGTTCCTAGTCATGCTTTATTTACTAAGTTAACAAACTTCGATATTGAAAATCAGCCAATAAGAGAAACATAGGGCTCAGTACATAGAGTGTAAAGTTACTGTCGAACTTTCAGCAATGTTACTTTTCCACAAAATAAGAAAATTACCTCTACACCTTATAAATGAAAATACCACATTTGTAGAACTATTTTACTTGCTGCTTATTTTGTTTATGAGTTTTATGATTACCTTTAATTGAAAGTTCTTTATATTGAAGTTGGTCTTCTTTACTTCCTGTAGGTTACTCAGATGAGTCGTCCGGACCTGATTCTCTTTCTGATGAAATACCTGATGGCTCTGATCGTTGGCATCCCCTCTATTTTTTGGGTTGGAAGCAAAAAGACTTGCTTTGAATGGGCAAGTTTTTTTCATGGCCGTAGGAAAAAAGAGTAAGTTAATAACGTCTCACAATTTTCACAAACCTCACATTGGCGCAAGGCTTTTGTGTAGTACTAAGATTGAAACTTAGAAGCTGGGTGGTGTAGTCATGTGTGTAAAGTTAGCACCTAAGGATTATGGGTTTGATCCTCAACACATACATAAAAAATTCTGTCAACTGCCCTTGACAAATGTACAATAGTGTGTCTTAGTGTTAAACACTGCAAAACTAGCCACTCATAGTGGTACAAACCCATAACTCCAGATAACTTGGGAGGCTGAGGCAGGAAGATCATGATTGCATGCCAGCCTAGGCTATACAGAAAGATATTATCTCCAAAAAAAGGGATGAAATTGTATAATTTCATTTTAAAGATGAAGAAAATGATGGGAAGAAGGGATAATGATTGGCCTCAATATATATTGGTAAAGTTGGAAGCACAATCCTGATTTCCTGATAATAACAGAGGCTTCTGTTAGGGGACAGAGTGTTTTAGTTATATTCTTTCCTGTGTCCTTAAATCAGTCCTAATGACCTAGAGAACATTAGACTTCAAGAACAGCAATGGTGCTATATAGGCACTATTGACTATGTCATCAGTATGTTAATGTATATCTTGAACTTGGATTGCATTGTGTAGGATGGTCAATGAGAGCCGACAGGTGCTACAGGAACCTGACTTTGCGCAGTCACTCCTGAGGGACCCAAACACACCTATTATAAGAAAATCAAGGGGAACTTCAACTCAAGGAACTTCCACACATGCTTCCTCAACTCAGCTGGCTATGGTGGACGATCAAAGAAGTAAAGCAGGGAGTGTCCACAGCAAAGTGAGCAGCTACCATGGAAGCCTACACAGGTCACGTGATGGCAGGTAAGTTCTGTTCCTAGCTTAGTTTATTTCATATGTCACATTATTATACAGCTTAAGAGAGAAAAAGAGCCAATTCTGAAGTATAAATTGAACACTATTAAGCCTTTCAAACTTTGCTAGATAGTTGTTCCAGATAATGAAACTTAAAATCACTTTTAGGGGCTAAACACACAGTACAATTCTAGTTACTAGGGAGGCAGAGATCAGGAGGACTGCAGTTCAAGGCCAGCCCAGGCAAAAAGTTAGCAAGACCTCATCTCAACCAACAAAGACACATGGTCCAAGCTATATAAGAGGTAGAGATTTTTATTTAAAATACTTCATTGTAAAATAAAACAAAATTTTAAAAAGCAAAAGCAATAGTCATTGTAGATACTGAGTAGGGGGACAGGATGAAAAGAGTTGGCCTAGTAAGATTAAGATGGCATTGAGCTGGGTTTTAGGAATCCAAACTTTGCTTACAAAATCCAGAGGCCACAGATCTGTCCATCAGGCCATTGTTGGCCATTAGGCCATTGTTTGCCAGCCCTGTTCTCTAGGTATAGTAGAAGCACAGAGGAGGGAGTGATTGATTCTGGTGGTAGGTGGAACATTTAATAAAATGTTTCTTCCTGTATGTAGTACACACTACTATAATCCCAGCTACTCAGGAAGATCACAGTTCAAGGCCAGCCTGGAGAAAAGTTAGTGAGATGCTGTCTTGAAAACAAGATGGGTGCATACATGTAATTATAGCTACTTCAGAGCCAGAGGTGGGAGGATTGAGGGCTGATGTGGTCTAGTAAAGTTAGTACTATACCCTATCTGAAAATCAAACTAAAGCAAAAGGATTAGGAGTGTGACTCAAGTGGTAGAACACTTGCCTAGTGAGCACAAGACCCTGATTCAATCCCCAGTACTAGAAAAAAAGAGGAGAGGAAGAATGGAAGGGAAAGAAAGAAAAGGAAGGAAGGGCCGGCCATAAGTGGCTGATGTCTGCAATCCTAGCTACTCAAGAGGATGAGACCTGAGGGTCATGGTTCCAAGCAAGCCCAGGCAGGAAAGTGCATGAGACTCTTATCTCCAGTACACTACTCAGAAAAAGCCAGAACTATTGCTGCAGCTCAAGTGGTAGAGCACTAGCTTTGAGCAAAAGAAGCTTAGGGACAGTGCCCAGACCCCAGAGTTTAATCCCTAGGACAGGCCAAAACAAAGGGGGTGGGGGGGCAGAGGAAAGGAAGGGAGGGAGGAAGAAAGAGAGGGAGAAAATGTTTCACAGAGAGACTAAGTCTGGCTGTATGTTGTTCTGGTTAAATTTGAGGTCTGCCACACTAAAAATAGAAACTTCCTAGGAGCTTTGGAGACCTTCCCTGCAGAGCTTATTGGAGAGTTTGGCAGTGAAAAGAGAAGAAAGAGCAAACAGAAAGATCTGCAGAAAGCAATAATAGGAGTTGGTGATAGATTATTATTAGTAACTATGGGAAAGGATGTCCCAGAGATGTTCTTTTCTAAGATTTCTAGTTTGGAAAACTAAAAGAAGGAAAATTGGGAGCATTCTGCCCACATTAGACCATCTGCTTCTGAAGCAGTTTTGTATCCTGGTGGTCTCAGTCGAGCCTTCTCTCTTTCTTCCCTGTATCCTAGTGTAGAATGCCATTCCTATCAATTTTTGATTTGGCTTTCTCCCTTGTTTTGCTTTCCTTTTTAAAAAAAACTTATTATTATAAAGGTGATATACAGAGAGGTTATAGTTACATAAGTCAGATAAAGAATGCATGTCGGGGCTGGGAAGGTGGCTCAGTGGTAGAGCGCTTGCCTTGCATGCCTGAGGCCCTGGGTTCGATTCCTCAGCACCACATAAGAAAATAGAAAAAAGCCAGAAGTGGCGCTGTGGCTCAAGTGGTAGAGTGCTAGCCTTGAGCTGAAGAGCTGAGGGACGGCGCCCAGGCCCAGAGTTCAGGCCCCAGGACCGGACCCAAAAAAAAAAAAAAAGAATGCATGTCTTTTTGGACAGTATCACCCCTTCCCTCACTCTTCTTTTTGCTTTCTAACTTGATCTGCTACCCTGTATTTTAAAAAGCACCAATCTTTCTTTGACTTTAATATATCTTCCTCTTCTTCCTTTTCCTCCTCTTCTTCTTCTTCCTCCTCCTCCTCCTCCTCCTTTTTCTTCCTTCTTTCTTCTTCCTTCCATGGGGCTTGAACTCTGGGCCTGGGCGCTGTCCCTGAGCTCTTCAGCTCAAGGCGAGCACTCTACCACTTGAGATACAGTGCCACTTCCGGTTTTCTGGTGGTTTATTGGAGATAGGAGTCTCACGGTCTCTCCTGCCCGGGCTGGCTTTGAACCGCGATCCTCAGATCTCAGCCTCCTGAGTAGCTAGGATTACAGGCGCGAGCCACCAATGCCCGGCTTGTCCTTCATCCTTTTAAATCTAGTCTTTGTCTCTTCCTTATTTGAGCTGTGCACTCTAACATCTTTTTAACCACATCCAAAGATCTTTTCTCTTTGCTGGCTTCTTTCCTTCCCCTCAGCAGTTTTGTAGGAGAAGTATTCTTAGCGCGAAGGATGCAAAAATTGAAAGCTCACTGAACAGTATCTCTCAGAATTCTTTAAAATGTTTAATAGAAATAGGTGCCAGATGCTTTGGGATCCCAGCAAAGAAAACCAGCTACCTATCGTGGAAAGTCAGAGACAGCTTCCCAAGTGATGGCACTTCAACTTTAAATAGGACTCAAGGAAGACATGAGAGAATTAAAGAAAGGCCAGGAAACAGCAAACACAGAAACAAGGAGTGCAAAACATGTAGGCAGTTAGGTACTGAGGTTTTACTAGATCATAGTTTGTGTGTTTGGACAATTTTAGGAGATGAAGCCATGCTGAAAAGTTTGAATATTTCCCTAAGACAGTGGGAAACTCTTACAGACTTTGAGCACTGGAGTTATACAATCAAATTTGAATTTTAAGAGAATTACTTGACAACTAGCATATGCAAGAAGGAAAGAAAAGTAAGACCATGAATTTAGGGGTATTAACTTAAGATGCCGATAAGGAGGGAGGGAATCAGAGACTTATCTCTCACCACCCTCCATAAACAGCATTGACATTATTACTGACCTCACCTTTTGCAATAATGAATGGATGACTGTTAGAGTACAACTCTTATGCCTGTGGAATTCTGTGTGAAAAGGTAACTAATTTCTATGTTCTAAGTATATACAATCTTGTGGAAAAGATGTGTTTATGAACCAGTTACATAAAAGCTCAAGCCAGGATGTAATTTAAACAGGGAGATTAGGGATAATAGATTAAAGGCCTTAGGAAAGGTTAGATTAGACTGATACATAAATGTGTATATAAGAGGAGATAAATAGGGTGATTTGATGGCGTGGGATAAGTTAATATTGAGAAGAAAATTTCCAAGGGCAGCTAAAGATAGATTTCATTCATTGTAATCCTAGTGGATTGGAGTTTATAATCTTCTGTTGGTAGTTAAAATGGTGAGATCACTTAAATTGCAATAAGATCTTAATGCATGTCATGGTAGCCAGAGGGTATCATGATTTCCAGGAATGGCCTCTTCTACTGTTGTGCTCAGTCAGAATCAGACCTATCCTTTCAGGACTGCATAATTCTAATTTTCTCAGTGGTCAGAATGCTACCCTTTATTTTTCCTGTTCTTTTTGTTATTATCTCAGTTAAATTTGTAGCTTCTGGTGAGTGAGAGGAGATGACACTCGTGTGTGTATTCTTCCTTGGTTTATGCAGCACCCAACACTAGTAGCTAGGCATCACTAACTTTTGGCCTAGGGCCTAGGTTTATCTCAAATGGAGATTCTGTCCTAGCTTCCTAAATAGATGGGATTATAAGCGTAAACCAGCATGTAGGCCTTGTTTATTTTTTGAGAAGTCCTTTGAAAATATTCCTAATGCATAAGTTTCCAGTTTGCATAAAGGGGAAAAAACAAAATATTTAATTTTACTTAAAACAAAAAGTGCTTAATTTTAATTAAGCCAAACAAAGCAGTTTTTTAAGCCTGCTATATTCTGGGTTCCTCCTCCCCTTCTTTCCTTTTGCTGTACCCAGGATCAAACCCAGGGCCTTGCACATGCTAGGCAAGGGAAATTCCAATAAGCTACAATTCCTAGCCACCCCACCATTTTTTCCCCAAGTGGTCATTCATCTGTCACTTAGCTGCATACAGCCTAGCTCTTAGTTTTTTGAGACAAGTTCTTGCTGTGCGGCTTAGGCTAGCCTTGAACTCAGCTTTTAGAAGGCTGGGATTCTAAAGTCACACTAGATCTGTTTGTTTTTAGAAACATAACATGAAACATTATATTTGGGCAAGGATTATAGCTTAGGGTCTCATTACCCCAGTATTGCAAAAAACAAAAAAATCTATATATTCATTAATACATTATAACAGTTTTTGTCCTAAATTAAATATATTTTACCAAAAAGTGTATTGTTGCGTGTATGAACAAAAGATACTTTAGACATTTCTTGAGGCACTAGGAATTAAGAGATAAAATATGGTCCTTTCCCTGAAAGAGCTCACTGTTAAGCCAGAAAGATTGATCAATAGCATACTAGCTCTATAAGCAAAGAACTAATTTTAAAAAATGTAATTGGTTTTCATGACCTTGACTGGCCTAGAGCTAAGTTTCTCATTCCTTATGACAGGAATTTTTAATATTCTTGCCTGTGTTGGAGCTCAGTGAGTCAGGATTGCAACAAAAGAAATTGAACAGCCCCACTGCTGCCTTTCACGCTAAGCTGTGTAGCCCAGCTAATGTGCAGGAAGCTGGTCTTGGGCTAAGAGTAGAGAGAATTTGCTGCTATAGGATTAGCTTCTGAGTAGATGTTATGTCTGAATTAGCGTCTTCACAACCTGAAGCCCTAAGGAAAGTAATTAAAGTCATTTATGGATGGTCAATTCAGCTGCTAACGAGGCTATTGGAAAAGAAGCTATGGACACAGAGGTCATCCCATAGCAATTCATTCCTTTACTATTTCTTTTTCTTTTAATTTTTTTTGGGTTAGGCTGCACTAACATCTCCATTGATTTTTACCTTCTCCTCATCCAATATTGGTTTCTTAGTAAAATTTGAGTTTGCCATGCTAGTGAGTAAAACCAGACTTCTAGCCTCCCTGAGGCCATATCTCATGTCTCCATTTTTTTCTATTATTCCTCCTCCTCTTAAACTACTTTATTTCCCAGAAATTATTTCAGTGAGAAAAGTATCTCTCCAAATCAGTCGGCCCAATGGATCTTAGTTTTTAACATTTTGCAGTGAATGGGATCTTTATTCTGAGCCTGAGTGGGTTAGCCAGGTCAGATAATTCTACATCTTGAATGAAAGTACTATAAACAATCAGAAGGTGGGTTACTGCTCTCTGATGAGCGGTTTCCTCAGCGTTTTATTTACTGAGATACTTTCATCAGCATCGGTATTGATAGACTTCTGTGTGTTTGGTTACCCCCTTCAAAATTCACTCTCCTATACCAGGTACACGCCCTGCAGTTACCGAGGAATGGAAGAGAGACTACCTCATGGCAGCATGTCACGACTGACCGACCACTCCAGGCACAGCAGCTCCCACCGGCTCAACGAGCAGTCACGACATGGCAGCACCAGAGATCTCAGTAACAATCCCATGACCCACATCACCCACGGCACCAGCATGAATCGTGTCATCGAGGAGGATGGAACTAGTGCTTAATTTGTCTCGTCCAAGATGAAACGTGTGCTGTTAAAAGCAGGTTTATTCTTTGCCTTCGCATGACTGATTGCTGTAACTCATCCTGCTTTCAATTGAGTGCAGGGAGTCCATTGAGAAGGTAGATTATTGCTTTTTGTATTGTGTCCAACTTGGAACACCCACAAAGGCATCTAAAACACTAAGAGTTATAGCATTTCAAAAATAATTCTTTCTAGGTTGTGAAGAGATAATTATTTGTCTGGTGAGCATTTTTATAAGTCCACTTATTTTCTATTTAGAAAAATCCTATATGTGTGGTGACTGCTTTGTAGTGACTTTGATATAATAATATGAACTAGTTGTGAGATAGCATTCTGGTAGCTCTGTTACTAAAACAAAGTTTCAGAATTAAAGAAATTTTCTATGCAAGGCTTATTTCTCAGATGAATAGTAAGACTTTGTAGTTTTATTTCCACTACATGAGAAAAAGAACTGTTTTTCAACTGTAGGAGACTTCGATAAATCAGCAAGGGTATTTTAGCTAATAAGATACAAATGCAACTGAAGAGCCTGATTAGTCTGTGAGAGGATCTCTCAAAATTCTATCCACATAGTCCTCAGCCAGAGATATTCAGGATTTTGATTAAGCAATGAAAGAAAAGCAGAGATGGCCATTTTCCCCCTGTAGTTGGTATTGTTTTTAGTACTTTTGTAAATATTACTTTTACTGGCTGTGTTTTTATACTATCCATATGCATGATGGAAAAATCTTAATTGGTAGCCATCTTTTCCCAAGTAACAGTATTGATTCATAGAGAATTTCTTCTTCAGATCTGCTCCGTGGAGGCATGTAATAAGATAAGCATCACACATTGTAAGGTCTTTTGTGGTAACCACAGTTACAAAATGGTGAACTATTTTCTCCGTATTCATGTTGTGAGATGTGGCATTGCCAAAGCCACCAGACCTTGGTATGCAGGTGAGCTGACTGTGTGTACTCCCATTGCCCAGGAGCCATGTAGCTACAGCTAGCTGCAGTTAGATACAGCTTTCACCCTATTCTGAACATAGTTTCTGGATCATTGTGGTTGACAGCTGACTATATATACTTTTAAGTCCAAAGTGGTGATTAAATTGGGTATTTGAGATCATTGTAGCTAAATGGAGCATGATTAGTCTTGCTGAGAATATGTTTTAATCTTAAAAATATCAAAAAGTCAAAAATATTTAACATTTTATCTTTACATTTAAGTAATTTACAGTATGAACTGTGAATTTTATTAGGCATGAAATTGATCAGGAGAGAAAGAAATTTTCTGGAAAATGCTGATGTGTCACATAGCAAACACAAGTGATCCTCATCGTGAGTGCAGGTAAGAATCACTTGGGGAAGTTGTGATACCCAGCATCCTCCTTCCTATCAGATGAGAAATGCTATTTAACAAAAGAAAAATAAGGGAAAAGAAAAGCTTTCCAAGTGATTCTAATTTGCAGTCCTGCCTGCATCCTATTGTTTTATCCCTAATACCATCTGATGGCATCACATGATATCATGTGAAGCTCTGTTGCATCAGTGATATGCTTTTACATCTTTACCTAATATCCAATTGTTTTCTACGTTACTGTCTGTTAGAAAATGCAGGAATTTTGGCTCCACTCCTAGAGAGTTTTATTCAATAAATTCAAGGTGGTAGGATTCTAAAATCTGTATTTATGAAAATAGTACAGGTTATTCTTATGCAGATAATCCAAAAACCACACTTAGAAGAACATACTAGATTCTAGAGATGCCTGGCTCTGCCATATGATAGTTTTTAACCTTTAATAAGTAAGTCAGCATCTCTGAGTCTAGGTTCCCTTGTTTGAAAGTGAAGATTCATACCTACTCTACCTACCTCACAAAGTTGTCAGTTAAGATCAAATGGAAACAACCATATGAAAACCATATAGCATCATGAAATATAAGGGATTAAGTTTATTGAGAATTTAAGAGATTCATTTTAGGACTACTGTAGTATATTTCTTGACAATGTTGAATTCATGTGTACATTCCTTGTTCAGCCTTTAAAACTAAAGATATGAAGAAACGAGATGTTGGAAAATAAGCTTTTACCCAACTTTTGTCAAAGTCCTAACTTATTTGAATATCATGTTTCTTTCAAAGTGCATATATCTTAGTATGAATTATTCCTTGTCAGATATATCTGAATATTTGGCCCAGTGTTTTTTTTTCTTTTTTCTACTATCCTCAGTCTTGGAACTGGAGTTACCATTGAAACAGGAGAAGTATAAATTCTTCATAGCTTATTAGTAATCCTTCCTCTATTCACTTATCTACAAAAAAAAAGAATTTATGAGGCTTTCGTCAGAGAATCTCTCCTGAGAACAGCATGAGTGAACCAAAACAAACATCCACAAACAAAAATAAGAAATTAAAATAAAAGGTGCCAGTTTGAGCTAAAAGATGTTGTCATCTAGCACCATCTGCATTACATTATCAACTGCCAAAATGTTCGGTAGTTTCGCGTACAAGCAGGCCAAGTATTGACAGCTAAGTGAACGTTGCTATGAAAATCTTAACTTTGTGCTTCCAGATTTTTATATATTTATTGGTATCTGTTGTGTTAAACTAATTGTTGCTGCATACATAGGATGCTATGTTCCAGTTAGTTTCAGTGTCTTAATTTTGCCCCACAAAATTTACATAATATCCTTAGTCCATTGCTCTAACAGTATTTAGTTTGGCCTACTAGACTAGTGCTCCAAGTTAATTTGTTTTTCTTTTTGAAGAAAATATTGCAGAGCATAGCAGAACAGCAGTTTTAAGTTGCAGCTCACTTAAATGAATTTGAACAAGTTTGGACAGTTTCATACCATATGTTTAATTTGTGTCATGATTGGCATATGCTAACATTTAGTGTTCTATTTGCTAAATTGACAATTGAGAAAATAATAGTTCTATCTAGTTATCAAAAGAGTTTTGTAAAGTCCTTTGATTTCAGCAATATTGTTTTATTTAGTAATTAGACAAAAAGATCCAAAACAATGTTAAGCTCAAAACAATTTGTTAGAAATAACAAAACAACTAATGCAAGGTTTAGCACATAGTAAGTTTTTCAATAAATATTTAAGTTAATGAACAATTCATGCCACTCAGTTTGCTTTTGTCCTAGTAATGAATTCCATGTTAAGGAAATTTGAAAGATTTAAACTAAGTCAAATGAATAACATATACATAAGTTATACTTCATGATGCTTATTTATCCTAGGTTAACAGTCCATGTTACTATTTTAATTAAAAAATTAAATATATGTGCAAGCATGTGCTAACTCTAAAGCCAGGTGTGGTGGTATGCATCTGTAATTCAAGCTACTCCAAGCTAAAAGCATTAGGACAATTAGTTCAAGGTCAGTCTGGGCTAGAACATAGCTGTAGTGATAGAGTGCTTACCTGGCATACAAGAGGCCCTCAGTACTATCCTTAGATGTAATTAAAGTTCCTCTTACTCTTACACTAAATACATTTCTGTGCACCAGTTGAACAAGTAAATATTTAACAATTCTTTTTACTTTTCTCTGCTGCTCTTTGGAGTAGCTTTATAAAACTCTTGAGACTCTCTTTAAATTAGAAAAATTTGCTGCATTTCAGCCTACTTCATTAGTTTCTTTGTGTTCATAGCTGAAAATAAATACATACCCATCTTAGTTTAACCTGTGTCCCGTGAAACAGAAATACTTACATTGTTTTGAAAATAATAGATCATTCTTTGATATGATAAAACTGGAGCTTAGAAGATACTGATATACCAAAATTTCAGTGTACTTTTCATATTGCTTTTTGACATGCCAAAGGAACATTTACGTGCTATCATATTTGGATGGCTTAGGAGGATTCCACTGGGCTTAGAATCCAATTATAATGTGAACGGACTCTGCTTCTTCAGCATACAATGTGGATGAGGTCATTTTTGGTCTCTACCCACCTCTCGGGACTGTGAGGGTCAAATTGAGAGAACATGTATCTGTGCTCTCTAAAACATGGGCTGCTATACAGATACAATTTGGATTAGCAGTATCTTGCAGAAAACAAGATGATGGTCTTTGGTAGTATCTATTTTTTTTTTTTTTTTTTTTGCCAGTCCTGGGGCTTGAACTCAGGGTCTGGACACTGTCCCTGAGGTTCTTTTGCTCAAGGCTAGCACTCTACCAGTTGAGCCACAGCGCCACTTCTGGCTAAGGAATCAAACCCAGGGCTTCGTGCGTGCTAGCCAAGCACTCTACCTAAGCCACATTCCCAGCCCAGTACTAACTATTTTTAACATCAACAACCATTAAACCATTAGACTAGTATTCATTGGTATAATCTTAAATTTGAAAAAAGTTTTTAAAAAGATTTTCAAGAGTAGAGATTCTATTCTATTGTTCTGTCTCTTAGGTACGGAACACCACAATATATACTCCGATTTTACATGGTAGAGTCTGTAGGTCAGTTCCACCAGATGCATGAGACTCTCCTCTGTGTTTCTTTTATATATAAGGGATTATATGAGCACATTTGCTTGGCCTGACTGGAATTTATTAAAAACAAAAGCAAAAACAAAGAGGAATATAGGCCCTCTACCTTTTTCTTTTTCTTTTTTTTTGGGTGGGGGGGGTCTGGTCGTGGAGCCTGAACTCTGGGCCTGGGCGCTGTCCCTCAGCTCTTCAGCTCAAGGCTAGCGCTCTACCACTTGAGCCACAGCGCCACTTCCGGCTTTTTTTCTTTTTGCTTATGTGGTGCTGAGGAATCGAACCCAGGGCCTCCTGCATGCAAGACAAGCACTCTACCACTGAGCCACCTTCCCAGCACCCCCCCCTCTACCTTTTTCTTTGCGAACTTTTATGTAGTTAATACTTTCCAATTGTGACTGGGTTTTGCTGAGGTAATTACCATAACTTGGTTTTCATCATGGCAAAATTGTACATGTACATGAATTTTTAAAGTATTTTTTATAGAACCTAGGCTTATAAAATAATTCAAATCTTTTAAATTTCTTTTATGCCTTCTTATTACAAAATAAGGAAAAGGGTGTTTCTTGCTACCTATATAATTTTATAATTATTCTTACATTATTCTGATCTATTTTATACGAAAATACTTATAGTTCTTCACAATTTCATTCTCTTCATCTTTGGTTTTTTTTTTTTGGTCTGGTCATGGGGCCTGAACTCTGGGCCTGGGCACTGTCCCTCAGCTCTTCAGCTCAAGGCTAGTGCTCTACCACTTGAGCCACAGCGCCACTTCCGGCTTTTTTTCTTTTTGCTTATGTGGTGCTGGGGAATCGAACCCAGGGCCTCAGGCATGCAAGGCAAGCGCTCTACCACTGAGCCACCTTCCCAGCCCTGGTTTTGGTTTTTTTTTGTTGTTCTTTTGCTTTTTGTTTTTGCTGGGTTCTGGGCTTGAACTCAGGGGCAGGGCACTGTCCATGAGCTTCTTTTTGCTCCAGGCTAGAGCTCTACCACTTTAGCCACAGCTCCATTTCAGCTTTGTTATTTCTCTTTAGTCAATCATGGGGGCTTGAACTCTGGGCCTGCATGCTGTTCCTGAGCTCTTCAGCTCAAGGCAAGCTCTACCATTTGAGTCACAGCACCACTTCCAACTTCCAGCTTTTTGGGGAGTAGTTTATTAGAGATAAGAGTCCATGGACTTTTGTGCTGGGCTGGCTTTGAACCATGATCCTCAGATCTCAGCCTCTTGAGGATTATAGATGTGAACCACCAGTGCCTGGCGGTTCCATTTACTTTTGAATTTAATTTTAATACTAACCTTCTTTAATAATTGAATTGATATGGGATTATAATTTTCTCACAGTAATCAAACCAGGAAAGAAAATGTTAAATTCTAGTCACAGCAACCATCTTTGTAGACATTCTTATTCAGTTGATTCACAGAGTTAATGTAAGTTATAAGTTATTAATGTAAGTTATAAGTTATATTTTTTTACTCTGTGATCTCTAATTGGAAAGTAAGTATAAAAATTTTTCACTAATACTTTAGTCAAATTCCAAACTAGTCCAACATTGCCTCCAATAAGATAAAGTAATTTAATCTATATAAATGCATTGGAGGATAATTTCCTTCAAGTTTCTTTCTTTTTCTTTTTTCTTTTTTTTTGGTGTATATTTTAAATACTCTCCTGTTTCAGGAAGTCTCTTGTGTCCTTTCCATGGATATTTTGGTATATGCGAGTATTGTTCATAACATAGTCATTTTATTGGCCTCAACAAGTTTTCTATGATAAGAGAAAAATATTTTTTACTTTATAAAAATTCAGAACTTAAAGAGTAACTAGCAAAGTCAGTACTTTTTTGGGGAGCCAGTACTCTACTGCTGAAGCCCTGCCTCTAGCCCTTTCGGTCTGACTTTTTGCCTGAGCTCAATGGGACTGGGATCTTCCTATTTATGCTTTTTGCTGTAGCTAGGATGACAAGCATGTATCACTGTACCAGTTTTTTTCTGTTGAGATGAGGGTCTCAAGAACTTGCCCAGACTTGCCTCAAATTTCAATCTTCCTAGTCTCAGCCCTCCTGAGTAGCAAGAACTATAGGCATGAGCTACTGTGCCCAGATCATCAAGGCAGTGCTTTTAAGACTTTTCAAGCTCATAATATCTCTAAAGCCCTGAATTCAGACCCCTGCTCCAAACATAAATCTATTCAAGATAAAATTAATGAACAAATCCATTGTAACACTGACCCACTGATTTATTTTAAAAACTATGAGGTCTTATCAACATTATAATAATAATAAAATCTAAAGGAACTTCACAGGAATTGATTGAATTTTTTTTTTGTCTCATTTAAGGGTTGTGTTTTTTGTGGGGTTTTTTGTGTTCTTGGGATTTGAACTTAGGGCCCCATTCATGTTAGACAGGTGCTCTATTATTGAGCTTTGCCTCTAGGCCTTGTTTGTGCTGATTCCTTTTGAGATGGGGTCATATTTCCTGTCCAGATGCACCTGGGCTATGACCAACCTATTCTAGACTGCCCATCTTAACTAGGATAACAGGCATGTGCCACTGTACCCAGCTCTCAGCTGAGAAGAATTCTCTCAGACTTTGCTACTTAGGCCAACCTTGAACCATGAGCCTCTCAATTTCATCTTCCAGAGAAGCTAATGTTACAACTGTGAGCCACATGGACCCAGGCCCAAGAACTATTCTTAAACTGCATCCTAGATTCATTTAAAAAAAATGCCTGATTTCCCTGGGCATCTGAATGTCTTCTTGATTTAAAATAATTGTTCAAAAGAAACATGGTTTGTTATTTTAATTTTTTTCTGGCTGCACAGAAGATGTTTCCATAAAGGCTTCTTAATTATTAACTAATAAAATGCAACGATTCCAATAATTCCATCCTTTCAACAAGGTTCTCCTGTGTTAACAGTGTTCTCGAGAACTAGGCCAAGAAAACCCCTGTTGTTTCCAAAGGTCATTGTCTTGGCTCCAATTGTCTTCATTAGCTCTTGTCAATGTCGTGAATGTTTTGGTGTGTGGATCTGCTATGGAAGTGATGGCTTTGGTGTCTGATGAGCAGAGGATAGTGGAAAGTTGTCTTAGGAAGGTGTACTGGTTTCTCGTGTGATTTCTTCAACTACTCTTACTTCCTTGTCTTGGGTGATTACAGTAGCTTCCAGAAATTAGGTTCTTCCTCATTCATAGAAGCCTATTTGGTCATATATTATATAACATACAGTTATGGTATTTTAGTTGTGGACAGGCTGGACATACAAGAGTGGTCCCGTTAGAGAGTCTGCCTGGTGGTGAGGCCATTCTGGTGTTCGCACCATGACCAGATGGCCTAACAACCCATTTCCCAGAAGCTAGCTCCCTTGTCTGGCAGAATGTGACCATTATAATGGTATTTTGATGGTCTCTAAAAGAAAATTTATTTTCAGTTTCTTACATCTGCAAGTCTTTTTTTGTCACATTCATTACAGTTGAATCTGAGGT